GCATGTATGTGGAACCTAGAAAAATGGTACAGATGAACCAGTTTGCAGGGCAGAAGTTGAGACACAGATGTGGAGAACAAACGTATGGACGCCAAGGGGGGGAAACCACGGTGGGGTGGGGATAGTGGTGTGCTGAATTGGGCGATTGGGATTGACATGTATACACTGATGTGTATAAAATTGATGACTAATAAGAACCTGCAATATAAAAAGCCAACGAAAAAAAACTAATACTGAACTTTCTTTGGTTTATTTGTATGGAAATATGTTAATATAAATGTTTCAGACATTACATGAAATTTCTAAAAATCTTTTATGTTCCAGTATAATGTTATAAGTCATAATTCTAGTTATTACTTTAAAAAGTGTATCTCAGAAATAACTAAATTACCTTGTCATTTGCATTATTATGGACTTTCATCAAATCTTTAACCGTGGTCATTTTTATATCTTGTCATTTACAGACAGTTCTGGGTGTACTCTGATGCTTCTGCAAAAATGTTCCTATAAAAGGGTTTCATCTCAAGGAATTCATGGAAAAGGCTGACAAGTACAGGTTTCTGGTAACTGACTATACTGCTGAACTGAATGAATAAGCATTTTCAGAACTCTAATGGAAAAGTGATGAATTCATAAAAGTACTAACAAAAGATCAAGATGAAAAAAAAATTTATTACATGGGACTGAGTGAACTGATGAGGATGATTATAATTTTTGTGACTTTGTTTGAATAAAAAAAAATCCCACAAGGACTCAGAGGTAAAAAATATACAAATCAATTTTCACTGCAAAGTAAAGGAGCTGTTACAGTGGAGGATTCCTGGACTGAATGTCAATATTATGACATAGTATGAGTGTGTTTCGTGTTTGGTAATTCCAATCATTGTTGCTTTTGTTGTGATCATCCATTTACAATGCTTGGTGTCCGTTTATTTATCTCTTGTAAAAATAAAATACAGTGTGTGTGTGTGTGTGTGTGTGTGCGTGTGTGTGTGTGGAAAAAAAAAGGAAGCCATCGACAAAACAAAAAGACAACCTACGGAATGGGAGAAAATATTTGCAAATGATGCAACATACAAGGGGTTAATATCCAAAATGTACAAACAGCTCATTCAACTCAATATCAAAAAACAAACAACCCAATCAGAAAACGGGCAGAAGATCTAAATAGACATTTCTCCAAAGAAGACATACAGACGACCAATAGGCACATGAAAAGATGCCCAACATCATTAATGATTAGAGAAATGCAAATCAAAACCACAATGAGATATCACCTTACACCTGTTATAATAGCTATCATCAAAAAGTCCACAAATAGCAAATGTTGGAGAGGATGTGGAGAAAAGTGAACCCTAATACACTGTTGGGAATGTACATTTTTCAAGCCACTATGGAAAACAGTATGGAGGTTCCTTAAAAAACTAAAAATAGGGACTTCCCTGGTGGTCCAGTGGTGAAGACTCCAGGCTCCCAAGACAGGGGGCCTGGGTTCAATCCCTGGTCAGGGAATTAGATCCTACATGCTGCAGCTAAGATCCCTGGCACAGCCCAAATAAATAAATAAATATTTTTTAGAAACTAAAAACAGAGCAGCTATATGATCCAGCAATCCACTCCTGAGTATGTATCCAGAAAAGACGAAAATTCTAATTCAAAAAGACACATGCACTACGAATAGTGCTGTTCACAGCAGCACTATTTACAATAGCCAGGACATGGAAATAACCCAAATGTCCATCAACAGGTGAGCAGCTTAAGAAGATGTGGTATATATATACAATGGAATCTTAGCCATAAAAAATAATGAAATATTGCCATTTGCAGCAACATGGATAGACCTAGAGAATATTATATTTAGTGAAGTAAGTCAAACAGAGAAATACTATATAATATCACTTATATGTGGAATCTAAAAAATAGTACAAATGAACTTATTTACAAAACAGAAACAGACTTACAGACATAGGAAAAACCCTACGGTTACCAAAGGAGTGAGGGAGGTGGGGAGGGACAAATTAGAAATATGGGATTAACATGTATAAAGTACTATACATAAAATAGATAAGCAACAAGGGTTTACTGTACAGCACAGGGAACTACATTTAGTATCTAATAAATACCTATAATGGAATATAATCAGAAAAAAACCTGAATCACTATGATGTACACTTGAAGCTAACACAATATTGTAAATCAACTATAATTCAATAAAAAATTATTGATCTAAATTTTTTAAAAGTTAAAAAAAATTTTTTTTAAGTTTAAAAAAATTGTTTACAGGTTGATTGAGTAGGCAACAAGAGATCATTCATGAGAACCCTATAAATCAATCTTGTAAGTCCTGTTTAAAAAAAAAAAAATCCACAATAGCTTGTTTGAAATTTTGCTATTGATTTCCCAAACAAAAGAAATAAGTATTGAACTTGAGAGATATATTTCAACGTTTAAACTTTATTTATGGACTTGCTTTTTTATCTCAAAAAACAAACAACAGGGCTTCCCTGGTGGCGCATTGGTTAAGAATCTGCCTGCCAATGCAGGGGACATGGGTTCGAGCCCTGGCCCGGGAAGATCCCACGTGCCACAGAGCACCTAAGCCTGCGCTCCGCAACTACTGAGCCTGTGCTCTAGAGCCCATGAGCCACAACTACTGAGCCTGCGTGCCACAACTACTGAAGCCCTTGTGCCTAGAGCCCGTGCTCTGCAACAAGAGAAGCCACCACAATGAGAAGCCCATGCACTGCAACGAAGAGCAGCCCCCACTCGCCGCAACTAGAGAAAGCCCGTGTGCAGCAACAAAGACCCAATGCAGCCAAAACCAAATAAAAAATAAAACAAAATTCATCCAGGTAAGTGATCCAAGTCCCATGTGGTATGAAATACCTTTCTCATTTGGAATAGATGGTAGAAGAAGGTTCTCCATCTCAACACAGCATGTGCAAATGAAGGGTGCCACAGTGGCAGGGAGGCTGTGTGCTGTGCTGGGGACTAAATCCCACTGCAAACTGTGAGGCCTCAGGCCAGACACACCTCTCAAATCATCAAACTGATGGGTTGGTTTCAAAGCCTCATTTTCTTTCTTTTTGTAAGTTTTAGTTTCAGTTATTTTTAAAAATAGACTATTTTTTTTAAAACGGTTAAAGAAAACTGAGCAGATAGTACACAGTTCCCATACATCCATCTCACAGCATAGTTTCACCTTTGTTCACTTGCATGTGTGTTAGTATTATATAGTGTTTGCAGGTTTCTCTGTAGGTTAAATGCCTAGATGTGGGACTGCTAGGTCAAAGGGTAAACGTATTTGTAGTTTCGGTGGATAATGCCAAATTGCCTTTCAGAGGATTGTACCACTGTGAACTCCCGCCAGCCATGTGTGAGAACTGGAGCCCCTTTCAGCTCTAGCAGTTTTATATTCTATCTTCTTCCCAGGACGCAGGCCCAAAGGCTAACTTTGTGGGGAGTTTTTCTAAGATATGGGCTCCGAAACTGGCCACAGCCAGCTGTGCCACATGCAGGAGAGCTCATATTAGACAGAAACAGCTTTCAGGAAGAACTTCCAGGCTCAAATGACAAAATTTGAATAAGGTGTGAAGGTGAGTTAATAGTATCCTAGCAGGCTTCCCTGGTGGTGCAGTGGTTGAGAATCTGCCTGCTAATGCAGGGAACACGGGTTCGAGCCCTGGTCTGGGAGGATCCCACATGCCGCGGAGCAGCTTGGCCCGTGAGCCACAAGTACTGAGCCTGCGCGTCTGGAGCCTGTGCTCCGCAACAAGAGAGGCCGCGATAGTGAGAGGCCCGTGCACCGCGATGAAGAGTGGCCCCCACTTGCCACAACTAGAGAAAGCCCTCGCACAGAAACGAAGACCCAACACAGCAAAAATAAATTAATAAACTCCTACCCCCAACATCTAAAAAAAAATAGTATCCTAGCAGTGTTACTTTCCTGGTTATGTAAGATGTTAATATTTGGGGAAGCTGAGTGAAGAGTATTTGGAAATTCTTTGAACTATTTCTGCAGCTTTTTCCTAAGTCTGAAATGATTTTAAAATTAAAAGTTTAAAACTTTAAAAGGTACTTTGAAAAAGGGAAAAAATGCGAGTGTGTGCCTCCTGGAACTGTCAAAATGTACAAATGAGCTGAGAATAGAAACAGTTATGGAGTGAGCACAGCATTCATAAAAGTCAGGGATTGAATTAAGGGCGGTCCTTCTCATAAGGGATGGATGGAGCCCTTCACCAGGTTGGGGAGACAGGAATGCTCAGTTTGGCCCCTGACCTCACCACCTGATGAGCTGCTTATCCACCCTGTGCCCAGAGTCCTCTCTGAAAAGACATCCCTTGCACCACAGGGGGCTGCTGTGAGGCTCCAGTGAGATGCAGGAGATGAAAGTAAACTGAGAGCTGCAAAGGACCATACCTCTGGGAAGGGATTACCTGCAAAACCTGAGACAGGCCCCCGTGAAAAAGATCACAAACATTTGCCTGCTGGTCCTGCCTAATATGGGTTTCAGTGGAAGCAGCTGGAAGTCTGTTTACAGTAATTGTTTTTTAAGCCCTTAAACGGTGGTCCTCCTCTGTTCAGTGGCCCCCACTCTGAGGTTCCATGCTCCTGAAGGTCCAGGCCCTCCAGTTACATGGCTGTGCACCTCCTCGGGGCGCTAGAGTCATCGTTTGCTTTCTTCCTGATGCTTTCTGCCAAAGACAAGAATCCTGTTGCCTCTTGTTGCCTGAGCGCTGCCTCACAAGGCTAGTTTGATGTTTTAATTGCCTGCAAGAGTTTGTGTTAAATATTATTCTGCATCTTCTTTTAAGAACATGCTGGAAGAAGAACCAAGTCATCCCTAATTCCTCCCCTCTGAAATGACTGTTTTCACACCTTGTGTGTGGCAGCTAGGGGAGACCGACCACACAGGGGACTTTCCTCTTGCCCCTTGATAACGTGTTATCGACGCTTTTCCTTGTTGCCAAGTGACCGATGTACCTTCATTACTATGGATGGCTGCCTAGTACCCCATCCTGTGGTTGCCCTGTAATGCACCATGGCAATGGAGGTTACAGAGTTTAAGCCTTTTTCATCATGAGCCAATTTTGTTTTTAATGAGGGATCATTACTAGAACCTGTTACTCCGCTTGCCTGATGGTTCTACATGGTGCCCTGAATCGCAAATCCCAAAAAACGCTTTTGGGATTGACAGACTCAAATAGGTTGTGACGGCCTCAGAAATTTTATTTGACCAGATCTTACTGGTTCAACTCATCTTAAGCCAGTTTTGGCCCATAGGTCTTAATGTTTGTGAAAAACAACCCTGCAGGCTGTTCCCACCTTATTCCAAACTGGAGAAAGAAAAAAAAAATCAATGTAGTATAGAGAGCTGGATAGGAAGAGATTGTAGCTTCAGTGGCCTTGGGGCTGTGAAGGTGATAGGGATCGTCTGGGTCACCCTCATGGCACAGATGGGGAGACTGGGGCCAGGAGGTACTGTGAGTTGCCCAAGTCTCCGTCTGGGTTCCAGGAGGAGGCAGGGCTAGGACCATCAATCTGAAAGGTTCAGAGCCAGCGCCACAGCGCCGTGGTCTGAGCAGCCTTGGAGGGCCCTGCCGCATTCCAGCGGGGCCATGCAACTCTGACTCTGCGCCCGGTGCTGCCCTGAGCAGCAGGTGGGCAGGGGAGACACTTACCAGCCAGGTCCCTCCTGCCAATGGCGACGAGGCCTTTGAATAGCACTCTGCTGGGTTTCTCACTGGCTGTGACCGGTGCCCGTGCTCCCGGTAGCTCTTGGTGCCTGAAGATCATGAGGGGAGAAAGAGAGAGAGAGAGAGAAGGCGCCAAGCCCGCCTGCCTTACCAGAGCCAGGCCTGAGCACACCCCTTACCGCCACCGGAACATCAGACCCTCCTCTAAGCGCCAGCAGAACTCAGCCCAGATATGGGGAGGGCATGGGAGGAAGGGGAGGAGCAGCCTCAGATGGGATGGGGGTGGAGTTTCGTATCAGGGACACCTGGATCTCCCCAGTGCCAGGCTTTCCCCTGAGCATCCACCATGTATCCTATTGGTGTCACTGGGAAGAGAGAAAGAATTGGCATTCACTGTGGTACCACGATGCACACACGACTGTACAGTTCATCTCTCTGGCGGCTCACAATAACCTGTGACTTGCAAGCTAGTGGCCCTGTTCTTCCCCCTGAACCAGTGGTTCTCAGCCATAAGTGCTCATTGGAGACACCTGGGAGGCTTTAGCAAACACTGACACCTGGGTCCCCCTCCCCGTTCTGAGATTCCTAGTACTTGAGTCTGGGTGTGGCCTAGGCAACAGATCAGTGTTAAGCCTTCCCAGGTGATTACAATGTTTGGAAAATAAGTGCCCATGCTCTTCAGTGCTGGTGGTGGGGTTAACTTGTTATTCAACTGTGACCAGGTCAGCTCTCCCAGCTGGGGACAGATGGTCTGGCACAGCCATGGGGGCACAGCCATCAGGTCCAAGTCAGTCAGCCACTGCGTCCCTGATGTTCTGGTGTCCGTGGGCCCCCAGCAGGCACTTCCTCCTGGTGCTGCTCGTGATGTAGCAGTTTTATTTGACCCGTTTATTCACTACCCCTTGTCCCCAGCCCTGTAATTTACCAGTGCTCCTTTATCGTCTATGAAATCCGCATCGGTAATAGAGTTCGCTTGTGGACTCCCCACTCTAGTCCACTACCTGATTTGCATATGTTTCTGTCAGGTATCTCTCTGTGTTAAACAGTCTAGCTTTCTAACGTTGAGTCTGGTTGAGTTAGACCCTCTTCGCTTTTTTCCTCCAGAATATTCATTTATATATTCCCTGTTTCTTCTTTCAGACGAACCGTAGAATCCTTTAGTCAAGTTTCAAAAACCTCCTATTTTGATTTGATTAAAATTGGATCAAAGCTTTAATATGGGGAAAATCAATATCTACATGACACTTCTTTTAGCTGGAAATACAGAATGTCATTCTACTTACCCAAGTCTTCTTTTACAGTTCAAATAATTTGTATTGTCTTACTCATATGTCATTCATATTTCTTCTTAGAAACACACACTATTGTAAATGGAGTATATTTTTACATACATTTTAAATATATATTATATATATATTTTAAATATTTTAATATATTTAAAATATACATTTTTACATATATATATATTTTTTACATATATATACCTCTATATATTTTGCCCACTTATTGATGGTACAGAGGAATACTATGGTGTTCGTATATTTCATCATGTTTAGCCATTTCATTGAATTATTTTATTCTAAGAGTTTTTCCGTTGATTCTTCTGGACTTCCTGTGTGTGTGTGTGTGTGTATCTTATCTGAAATTAATAAATCTCTCTCTTCCTTTCCAGTATTTACACTCAATTTCTATTTCTGTCTCATGCCTTAATACCAGGGCCCGAATTTCCAAATAGATGTTAAATAATAGTGGCAACAGCAGCTCCTCTCCTTTTTACAGGGAGCACCTTTAGTTTCATGTGTGAATGATGGGTTTCAGCTCGAGCTGATTCGTGAAGAATGTGAAGTTCACAGGTCAATGTGGAGGGAGGGGCAGAGGGCCCAGTCTGTGTAAAGGCCTGGAGAGGGGAAGAGCACGTGATGTGTTGGAAGTGGCGTGTGGCTTGCTGAGGCTTTTCCCCCAGAAGAACAGAAAACTGAACACACCCCACGTGCCCCCACCCCTCCACCCGGTTGCTCTGGGGCACCAAGGCAAGGTGGTACCTGTCCACTGTTGCTCGATGGCGTGGACGTGGGCCTCGGTGAACTCCCAGCAATACGCCAGCTTCTTCCACTCGTGGGGCTGCAGGTACCTGGAGGCCAGTCACCACAGCACAGAGCGGAGCTGCTGTGTTTCCTGCCGATGATCCTGCTTAAAGGTCAAACTCTTCCCAGAGGGGTCACAGAGGTCCCTGCATGAGAGCTGGTCCTGTGGGGCAGATCCCAGAAGTGCAGCAGCTGTCTGGGGGAAATCCCTGCCAGGCTCTCCCTTGTGAGCCTGGACACAGAACTGGTGTCATCACAGGCCTGGAGCATAGTGTCCATTACTCTGGTTTCTGACTCTGTGCCTTGCTTTGAGTGTTGGAAACTGAGTTGCTTACACTGTTTCTTCATCCAGAATTCCTTTTCTCACCTCCCTGTCTCTCAATCCCATTGCCACAGTCAAAAGACCACCTGGGTGCCACCTCTTCCAGGAAGCCTTCCCATTTCTCTCTTTTCTTTGTGTTCTTATAGCACGAGTGTCAGTAGAATGACTCAGCAGCTGTGGCTAAAACCAGGCAAGCCAAGAATCAGGCACGAACTAAACTTGCCAAACGACAACAAGTAGAGAAGGTCTGCATTACAGAATTCTTTCTATGCAAAGCAGGTGATAAAATGAGAGGTTACCAAAAATTATGTAATAGCTTAAGTTAAACCCACAAAAGTATTACTCAGCCATAAAAAGAAACGAAATTGAGCTATTTGTAATGAGGTGGATGGACCTAAAGTCTGTCATACAGAGTGAAGTAAGTCAGAAAGAGAAAGACAAATACCATATGCTAACACATATATATGGAATTTAAGAAAAAAAAAATGTCATGAAGAACCTAGGGGTGAGACAGGAATAAAGACACAGACCTACTAGAGAATGGACTTGAGGATATGGGGCGGGGGGAAGGGTAAGCTGTGACAAAGCGAGAGAGTGGCATGGACATATATACACTACCAAACGTAAGGTAGATAGCTAGTGGGAAGCAGCCGCATAGCACAGGGAGATCAGCTCGGTGCTTTGTGACCACCTAGAGGGGTGGGATAGGGAGGGTGTGAGGGAAGGAGACGCAAGAGGGAAGAGAGATGGGAACATATGTATATGTATAACTGATTCACTTTGTTATAAAGCAGAAACTAGCACACCATTGTAAAGCAGTTGTACTCCAATAAAGATGTTAAAAAAAAAAAGAACCTGCTGTATAAAAAATCAATAAAATTCAAAAATTCAAAAATAAAAAAAAAGCCACAAAAGCCCCTGGAAAGGATGTGGCTGCAGATTTCTAGTTGTTAAAAAGATCAGGTGACCACTGCAAAGTAAAGCAGCTGTTACAGTGGAGGATTACTGGACAGAATGTCAATATTATGACATAGTATGAGTGTGTTTCGTGTTTGTTAATTGCAATCATTGTTGCTTTTGTTGTGGTCATCCATTTACAATGCTTGGTGTCAGTTCATTTATCTCTTGTAAAAATAAAATACAGTGTGTGTGTGTGTGTGTGAAAAAAAAAAAAAGCTCAGGTGAGTTCTAGCATCTGCATCCTGGTTAACTGTGTCTGGCCAGTCACCTGGGAGGTGACGACCTGGGAGCTTGGCTCTCTCCTTGGGTGGTAAAAACTGTTTCTTTCGAGCTGTGTTCTCAGCTGCATCTTACATTGGGATCATCTGGGAGCTTTAAGAACCACAGAAGCTTGGCCCTTATCCCTTAGATTCTGATTGAATTGGTCTAGGGGTAGGAAGGAGGGATTTGTGGTTCTAACTGCACCACTGCCTTAGTGTTGAAAACTTTTAAAGCCTGAGGTGGTTTAAAATTAAGCATAGAGATGAATCAGTTCATCAAACCGTTGGTATTAATATTTAGGAGTAATCTGTTGTATGTAAAGGGGTTGTAATATTTACAAGAATCCAGCACGTCAGTGAAAGAGAAAATCTTATGATTCCTATGGAAATTTATCAATTGATTGATTTTTGGACAGTGATTTTTTTGAGAAGTGTAAGAGAAATTTACTAAATTTGTAAACAATATCAGAATGTTTATGGTATTTGAGATTCACTTTATAGGTTTAATTTATTGCATTTAATGGGATAATTTAAGAATTTAGGAAGCATTTGAAGTGCTTAAAAAGAAAACCTATTATATTAAATTTATTCTTTCAGTTTAAAACCTTTAAGGTAGTTTAATTAAGCTTAAACATGGGACCAAACTTTAATCAAAAGGCTTCCTTGAAAGTGACTGTTAAAATTTACTAGTTGTATAAATGTAATAAGAAGATTGTAAAAATAAATTTAAAAGTTTGAGGAAAAGTAGGATTTAAATTTTGTAAACAATTCAGTATTAATTTCTAAAACTGAAATAAATGCAAAATTTTATTTTCTGTGTATAAAAGCAACCATTAAGGACAACAAAAAATCTCTCAACCCACCCCCATTTGCCGACACTGGAGCTGTAAATGCAGGACCTTACAACTGCCACTCCTCTTTCCCAAATCCACAGCAGATATCACTAATCAATCCCAGCACACTTTCCTTCTGGGCTCAGAAAGTTGCTTAAGTAGAACACCCCAAGCCACAATTCCAATCACCTGGAGCTGACAGTGAGCTGGAACCAATTTGCCATTTCTTTATTCATGCATGAATGCATTCATCCATCAACCAGGAGCTAGAGCAGGGTCTACTAGTATCTCCACACTGGCACGGACCTCAGTCAGCCTTATTTCAGTGTGGTTTGGGTGTTCACCCATCTCTGGATGCCCTCAAAGAACCCTAGTGTTAGGTAAGGCAGGGATTATCACTCGCTTGGAAACTGAGGGGCCCCTGAATTGGTCAGGGCTGGGGTTCAAAGCCAACTCCACCTGAAGCCATGGCCACTCCCTTTCCAACACGGAGAGACCAAGCACAGGGTCTCAGTACCTTCTCCCATCTGTAGAAGCGATCGGCTTTTATGATCATGTCCACCAGGCTGACATGGTTGATGTGGTGGCCACTGGCAAGGCAGTTTTTCCTTGCTGCGGGTAAGAAGGGAGAAGGGAAGCCAGAGCTCCTATAAGAGGGTGTAGGATGGCCTCTAGCACTGACTACAGACCCTCCTGCCCAAAGAAAGTGGTTTCCAGCAGTCTACACTGGAGAGCAGAAGGTTTTCTGGGAGTAACTCTGGGTGTGGAAAAGTCACAGGTAGAATAAGGCAATAATTCCAACAACCACCTCTTGTGTTCTTCTAGAATAGGAGGACTTAAAGCTTATAAAACTCAGCCTGCATAAGTCTTCAAGGTCACCTGTGAGATAGATGTTACCAGCCTCATGTCTCAGATGAAACCAGAACCCAGAGAAGGGGCTTGGGCTCCTGTGTCAAGTTTGCTGCCTCCCCTCAGGTTTCCAGCCCTTTGCTCCAGGCCTCTGGCACAGTGCTGGCCTCCACCACCTCCAGGGACCTGCGGGGAGATGGGAAGCTCCTCTTCAAGCTTGGCCAGCTGCCCCGGGCCCCAGCTTCCCTCCCAGGAAGCAGGAAGCCCTTCCCAGGTCCAGCCTCAGGGCCTGTTCCCTGCCCCCATCTCTTTCCCACACCATCCCAAGGGCTGGGCCACATGTGCAAGGGCCCTTCGCCTCATGAGCCTGTGACCTCTTCAGCCTCATACTAAGCCTTCAACTCTTCTCAAACTTCTGGCCACCTAAGGAGGTGGCCACCCCAGAAGCACCGTGACCCAGGAAGCTTCCCCCAACCCTGTTTCACATGTACGGAGTTGTGGGGTGGTGACATGCTGTTCCTCTAACTCTCTTCCCCTCTCCCCAGCAGATGACTCAAGGAGCTCAAAGTCTGATGGGGGCCATGAAACAGAAGACAAACATATCACAGGCAAGGACCAGGAGAGGGGTGGGCCAAGTGCTGAGGGACCTCAGAGGACGCAGGGGAAGGTGATGGAGGGGCAGGAAGGCTTCCTGGAGGAAGTTGCCTTTGAGCTGATATATAACAGATGGGAAGCCTTGAACATTCTGGGAGCAGGAGGCATTTGCATCAGGATCTCTGGCAAAGAGGGAGTCATGAAAGCTCGCAAGGGAGGCTGGTTGTGAGCAGAGGTACCTTATCTCTCAGGTTTAAGTTAACCCCAGCAATGAGGAGAATACCTACTATGTCCTGCCAGGCGTGCTCGGCGGCAAGGTGAGGGGTGTCTGCTGCCTCTGGAAAACAAACCAAGAGGACGGAGAGCAGAAAAGCATGTAGAGATGGTCTGTGGCTCAAAGCCAGGACAGGACCAAGGTGGGTACACTCCCAACTGGGCCTTAACAGAGTTTCTCTAAGAAGTTATGTGGGGCTTCCCCGGTGGCGCACTGGTTAAGAATCCACCTGCCAATGCAGGGGACACGGGTTCGAGCCCAGGTCCGGGAAGATCCCACATGCTGCAGAGCAACTAAGCCCGTGTGCCACAACTACTGAGCCTGTGCTCTAGAGCCCATGAGCCGCAACTACTGAAGCCCAGGTGCCTAGAGCCCATGCTCCCAACAAGAGAAGCCACCGCAATGAGAAGCCTGCGCACCACAACAAAGTGTAGCCCCCGCTTGCCACAACCAGAGAAAAGCCCGCGTGCAGCAACGAAGACCCAACTCAGTCAAAAATAAAAAAAATAATAATAATAAAATAAATTTATATTAAAAAAAGAAGTTACGTGGGAGGGTAAACTGGATTTAATCATAAACATAATACTCAGCAAACTTAGTAAATAACAAAGTAGAAAGAACAAAGAAAAAATACCACTCGCTATCCCACCTAAGTCAACCTCTGTTAACAGTCTTAGTACATTTCTTCTAGTATTTTCTTTAATGCAGAATGTTTTTAGTTTTATGGTTTTACATATTTGAGATCATCCTGTGTATACATTTTGCATCTGTATAACTTCTTGCATATTATAAACTCTATAAACACCATTTTTTATAACTCCATAAGAGCCTATCTACGCCTATACCATAATTTAACCGATCACTTCTCTCTTATTAAGTATTTGGGGTCCTTTTTGAAATGAAAACTGATAGACTGCTACAACAGATATCTTGGTGCATGAGCTCTTAATATATTTCTTGAGGCTCAATTCTCAGACGTGCAAATACTGACCATTTCAAAGGTATATGTTATATTCTGTCAAATTGCTTTCCACCACTAGTGGTTGTGCGTGGTGGCCCTGAGGATTGTATGGTTGGGGGGTGGATTGTGGGGATGGGGATTTTAAAACGCTCCTGATGGATCACAACTTCAGGACTCAGAGACCTCTTGTTATACGAGATTAACCCAGTCACCCCTGCCCTGGGAATTTTCCCTAAGGGAAAAAAAAAATCAATGAAAGGAAAAGGTTGCATGTAGCAAAAATGTTTACCACAGTGTTCTATACATCATGACAGAAACTTGGAAATACTCAAATGTTCAAAATAGAGAAATGGTTGATAAAATAATGCTACCTTCAACAAATATTCAAACAACTTTTGACAAGCTGAAAGAGCGATTCCTCAATTCTGGGCCAGGCTAGTAGACCACAGTCAAGCCCTGCCAACCTGGGAGGGTGCCCAGAGGCTCCATGGGGCCCAGATGGTTTCTGCAGCCACTTACATTGTCAACGGCGTCCAGGACACTGCCGCTGTCAATGAGGAGCTGCACCAGGACGGGGAAGTTGTGCCTCATAGCAAGGTGCACAGGAGAGGCGCCCTGCTGGGGGCGGTGGAGAGGCACAGATCAGTTGATGGGTCCCTCCCAGGACTGCCCAGCTGCAGGCTGGTGCTAGAAGATGGGAGTTGGGAGGAGTACAGTAAGTTCCCTACGTACGAACCTTCAAGTTGCGAACTTTCAAAGATGCGAGCGTGCATGCGCATGTCTGATCACATAAATTAATTCACATGTCTGGCGTACATTGTCACATGCGTGCATCCTCTACTAGTCGTGCTTTTGTGTACTTTACTGTACAGTACTTTTGCTGTGCAACACGAGGAGCTTACTGATGAAGACCTGATGGAACTGGCTCAGAGAAAGGACAAAGAGACACAAGGGGAAGAAGAAGTAACTGAAGAAACGAAGTGATTCACGACGCAGGAAATGGCGAGGGGATTTTCTTCATTTGAGGAGGCACTGTCAGTTTTTTTTTTTCATTTGACAACTTGTATCTTTTTTTTTTTTTTTTTTTTTTGGTTCGCGGGCCTCTCACTGTTGTGGCCTCTCCCGTTGCGGAGCACAGGCTCCGGACGCGCAGGCTCAGCGGCCATGGCTCACGGGCCCAGCCACTCCGCGGCATGTGGGATTTTCCCGGACCGGGGCACGAACCCGTGTCCCCTGCATCGGCAGGCGGACTCTCAACCACTGTGCCACCAGGGAAGCCCCACTGTTAGTTTTTGAGGCACAGGACCCGAACACAGAAAGGTACACGAAAGTTGCAGCAGCCGTTCCGAATGCAATCCAGTGCTGCTGTGTCATGTATGACGAGAAAAAAAGAGCTACTACCCAGACATCACTGAATCATTTTTTAAAGAGGGTAGATAGAATTGAATCCAGCAAGGAACCAGAACCTCTGCCGTCAAAGTCAGGCATGAGTGAAATTGCAGCTTGCCCTCTGTCTCTTATTGCTGACGATCCTTCAGCTCTACCATCTCCCACCTCCTCTCCCCCCTCCAGTCAGTGACTCTTCTTGCCTGTCCACTCAGTGCCAGCCCCTGTATGCCGGCTGTTGTACTGTACACTACTTTTCAAGGTACTGTACTCTAAGATTTAAAATGTTTTCTTTATTTTGTGTGTTTGTTTTTTATGTATTATTTGTGTGAAAAGTATTATAAACATATTACAGTACAGTACTATACAGCCAATTGTGTTAGTTGGGTATCCAGGCAAACGTTGTTGGACTTGTGAACAAATTGGACTTACGAATGTGCTCTTGGAATGGAACTGGTTCATGTGTAGGGCACTTACTGTATAGATAGTGCTTCTGAGTTTGGACCTTCTCACATCTCGGATGACATGAGTGGCCTGAGGAATTTACAGCCCACAGCCTGAATCCCTTGGGCCACAATTGATCCTCATGGTGGGCGGGAGCCTGAAATCCCAAGTTTGAGACCTTGCCATGCCAGGAACTCACTACGTGACTTTGGGCGAGTCATCTTCATCTGGCAAGTGATGCTTGCTGAGGTCCCTTCTAGCAACAGCACCTTAAGATTCTCTGCTATCTCATTTACTCCACACATGAACCTAGCAAGTATATAGGAATGGTATTCTTATTCGTACTTTCACCTTACAAATGAGAACACTTAATAAGTTCATAAAACTTACATGACACACCCAAGGACACGTAACTAATAGAGACCCCGTGTTACTGGACTTTCTACCCCCGGCATCTAGGTAGGTGCTCAACAACTATTTATGTATGAAATGAATGAATGAGAGAGCCAGCCGGGACCAGAACAGAGGTCTCACCCAAACCCAACATTCACCCAAGGCCTCACTCAAGGCTGGAGGACTCCATCTCCAGTGGTTCCCTGTGAGCACTGACTACATGACAAAGTGGAGATACTGCCACAGCAAACTTCTGTCTAGGTGTATGGTGACACACATCTAGTAGAACAGTACAAAGCCAGAAAAGTCAATGGGATAGATCTATACTTACTGTGGAAAAACACCCTCACATGTTGAGTACCAAAAGGTGACAGAACAGAACACGCACACATACCACAAAAATGCCCGTGACTGCCATTACTAGTTTAGGCCAGAAAAAAATAGTTTATGGATATTGGAAAAGAAGATTTAAACTATACGATTACTTGTAGGCAACGTGACTGTATATCTACACAGGTCAAAATAGTTATTATACCCCCACCAAAAAAAAAAAACCTCTAGCAAAATCAGTGAAAAGTCATATAGAAGATAAAAATACCAAAGTCAGTAGCATTCCTGTATTGAATGCCCACAAGAAATGACATATTTTAAAAAGATAGTCTATTTGCAATGACGGTCAAAATATATAAAGTACCTATGAAGAGTATAATTGGAAATGGCTATTACAAAGGCAAACAAAAACCATAGAACATCACTGAGGGATTCAAAAGAAGACATAAAGAAATGGCAAGACACGTTTGTAGTGAAAAAATAAAATATTACAAAGGTGACCATTTTCTCTTATATTATTTACAGGCTTAATGTAATCCCAAACCCAAATAGCAATAAATGACAAAAAGTATTCTGAAACACATCTAGAAAAAAATTTAAAAACCTAGGTAAAACTACCACAGAATTTCAGCAGTGTCCTCAGATCATTGCTAGATAACTGTGAAATCAAAATCAGGCCAAAAGAAGGTCTCCTGTGAGAGTGAATGGGCAGACACTGGAAACTGGCTCAAGTGCACAACGCGGATGAGCTAGGAAACTTATCAGAGCTCTAATGGTGGCTCTCCAGGAAGCAGCAGGCCACAGAGATAAAATAACCAAGGAGGCTGGATATGGCCTCCATCGTCCTGGAAATAGGTCTGTGGGAATGTGGTAGGAAAGGGGAGTGGAAAGAGAGCAAGTACTGCTTTTCATTGGTTTACATTTTATTTATAGAAACCTAAAGAACCAGAAAGAACAAAAGGTATCTGGTGAAAAGCCTTCTTCCCACCCTCAACACCCATCTGCTCTGTTCTCCCCACTCCAATGGTAACATCTTAGAAAGCCACAGTACAATATCCCAACCAGAACACTGACATTGATAATACCCACCATCTTACTCAGATGTCCCCAGTTTCACTTGTAGTCATTTGTATACATGTGTGTTCTATGTAATTTTATCACACGTGTAGGTTCGTGTATCCCTTACATAGTCAAGATGCAGCACAGTTCCATCACCATAAGGGTCCCTTGTGTAGTCCTTTTATAACCACACCCTCCTCCCTTCTCTGCCCCACGCCCCCATCCCTAGCCCCCCGCCACCACTAATCTGTTCTCCATTTCTATTTTGAGAAGTGAGGTCCTGGGAGACTCGGCAGTGTATCCCCTGCCTCCCCCCCTTCCATCCAGGCCCCACACGTACATGATCAGCCACGTTAGTGCTTCCTCCTGCATGGACGAGGGCCCAGGCCATGTCCTCAGAGCCACCGAGGGCTGCGTAGTGGAAGCAGCTCTGCTTTTTCTAGAGGGAAACAGGCATCAATGCAGCATCCTAAGGACCCCTCACAGCAGGGTTTACAAAGCACTTTGAGATTCATTATCCCATTCACAGCTCACAACCCCCATGGGACTATTATCCCCATTAAACCCTGAGGCAGGAGAAATCAATGACTTGCCCAGGCCTGGTGACTAGTAAAAGGAGTTCACTATGGTCTCAGGATTTTCCTCACCTCCAGTCACAGACTCCAGAACAAAGGCCAAAGCCTTCACAGTTCCTTAGCCAGTAAAGACACATGGAGTATAGATGCTGAAGAGATGGTTTTCAAGGAGGGGGACCAATAAGATTTACCTGTACAGGGCAAATCCCACCCAGCATGTACTGTCCAGCTGGAGCTGGTCTAAGCACATCCACAGAGGAGCCTGGCAGGGCCAGAGGGAGGGCTTCCTCCTGGATGAGACTTCATCTCAGGCAGGACCCACTAGGTAACCAACTGTCCCAGATTGCCTGGGACTGAAGGTTCCCTGGATGCGAGACTTTCTGTTTTAAAATCAGGCAGTATGGGCAGACCAGGATGAGTTGGTCACCCTCCCAAAGTCGAGTCTGAGCAAGTTTACAGGGTGGGTGGGAATCCATCCACCTCCCCGTGGGAAATGCAATCACTTTGGGTTTGCCCCCTCCTCAGAGACCCTGCTGCACGACACTGCCAGAGGTGGGAGTGTCGGAATAGACCGTGGCCTCTGCCAGAAACCTCAAGTCAAGGCTGGAGCACGAGAGCCGGTGAGGTGGGCAGCTCCAAGCCACCAACGACCACCAGCTGGATCTAACCCCCTGAGTCTCTAAGCTCCTGTGCTGTTACTGCTGGGGAGGTGGCCATGGCATGACCTGTCTGTGCCCCCTCCCAGTGCCTAGTGCTGGGCACAGAGAAAGGGCCTTTCTGACTAAGGAGCAACACCTTGCTGATGGAAGTGAAACAGGAGTGAAGGGGGCAGGGCACAACCTTTAAAAGAATGACATATGGGCTTCCCTGGTGGCGCAGTGGTTGAGAGTCCGCCTGCCGATGCAGGGGACACGGGTTCGTGCCCCGGTCCGGGAGGATCCCGCATGCCGCGGAGTGGCTGGGCCCGTGAGCCATGGCCGCTGAGCCTGCGCTCCGCAACGGGAGAGGCCACAACAGTGAGAGGCCCCCGTACAGCAAAAAAAAAAAAAAAAAAAAAGAATGACATAGCCACAGTACATGATGAAAACTAATGAGAACCAACTAGGCCCAAGATGGCAGAAGATTCGACCTCCAGTAGACCTTGAGCCTCATTGTACGCTCACCGTAATACCTTAGCATGCTAAATGACACACCCACCAGCGCCATGACAGTTCTGAGGCTAACCGTAAAAGGCCAAAAAGTGGGCAGAGGCCCAATTTCTGGAAATCCCCATCCCTTCCTCAAAATAGTTGGAATAATCCTCCCACTCATTAGCCTATGAAATTACCCAGTCCATAAAAGCTAACCACGCCATATTTCAAAGCCTCTTCCTCTTGCCTTCCGAGATAGCCCACACTCTGTCTGTGGAGTGTGTTTCTCTCTAAATAAATCTGATTCTTACCTATCACTTCGTCTCCAAATTCTTTTGCAATGAAGTAAGAACCTTAAATTCACCAGCAACAGAAGGACACGGCTGGTGCCCTGGGACAGCTACTTTCCCCCTCTTGGCTGTAATGTCCCCCGCTATGTCCCTGGGGTAGTAGTCTCCACACCTTCCAGGGGAGCAAATTAAATGTTTTGTGGTTTATAAAGCATTATTCACATTTAAGGGAATTTACGATTTATATTATTATTATATTTACATTTGCCATTTTGCTATTTCTTTTCTTTTCTTTTCTTTTTCCGGCCGAGCTGCGCAGCTTGTCAATCTTAGTTCCCCGACTCGGCAGTGAAAGTGCAAAGTCCTAACCACTGAACCACCAGGGAATTCCCTTTGCTATTTTTTTTCTGAATGTCTCTTGTTTTTTCTTGTTCTGTTTCCCCTTGACTGCCTTCTTTTGTGTTAAATATTTTTAGCATATTTTCATTCCTCTGTTTTTAAACTATTTTTGCTATTATTTATATTATTCACTATTAATATTATTTTTGCTACCTTATTGAAATTTAGAACAAAAAGAGAATTCCAGACTCTGCAGCTGTTCAACCAGCCAAGAAAGAGTATTTGTCACTGATCTAAAAACAAAAAGCAAAACAAAACAAAAACACCAACTTCCTACCTAAAGAAAGGCCACAACCCCCTTTTCAAGGACACAGAGAATTTCTAATGGCCAACTCACAGAGTGCAATGGTAAGGGAGAAAGAGGCCTGTCCCAGAGTCACACCCAGGCTCAGGCTCTAATTGCGGTGTGGGCCTCATGTTGCGGACACCCCACCCCTACCCCCGCTGGGCAAGGCAAACGTTTCAGGCCATGAACTCTGGAGTCAGGGGAATAGGCTTTTCAGACTCAGCTTCGCTTCTTACCAACTTGTGACCTGGGAAAGTCACTGAACCTCTCTCATCTGTAAAATGGGGGGAATTTTTCTGAGGTAATAGTTATGAAAGGGTTTTGTGAACTGTCACGTGCACAGCAATAAGACACTAATGGGTACTGAGCTCCTATTATGTCCCAGGCAATATGCTAGGTATTTAGCCTTCATAGCAATATAAAATAGTATATATCACCTCCAATTTATAGTTGAGAAGCGAGGCTCAGAGAGATTAAGTAACTTGCCCAAAGTCACAGAGCTCAACAGCTGAGCCTGTTCCCTCACAGCCTTGTTCACACAATGTTCAGGAATCATCGTGGCTCCTACAGTTGACACAGTCACGTCTCTGCAGGCAGCCGAGGGCACACACCAGTCGTGAGGAGGCACGGCTACCTGGGTGAGGGCGTTCGCGCTACTCCCGGCCCCGAGGAGGAGTTGCACACAGTCGGGGTGGATCCCTTCAGCAGCTGCGTGCAGGGCAGTCAGACCTTCCTGAAACACAGGGGAGCGGTGTGAGGATGGCAGGAGGCCGAGGCCAGAGCCCAAGACCGGAGGACACCCCTTCTGCCAGGGCGCCAGGGCTCTTTGAGCTCTCCCCTCCCTGCTACTGCAGACATGACCTGGCGACCTGTGGTTCCCTGAGCCCCGCCCCTGATTCTCACCTTGAGGGGCGTATGGTGTATTCACTCCCTCTGCCACAGCTCTGCTCGTGTTCTCCTTGCCCTCCAAGCCGCCTCATCCCTGCTCTGTCTATTCCCTCCTACTCCATCCTGGCCACAGTGACCTCTCCCTTCTGTGAACGCACACTGTGCGTATGACTGCTCCGTGATCCCTCAGGCCCGGTGCCCCTCCGAGCCTGGAGTTTTGTGCTGCTGCTCATCTTTTCCCCGTGGGTTGTTTGAGAACACGTCCTCGCTCTTGGCTTCAGAGCCCCTACCAGGGGAAATCAGGCTGCACCACGGGCTGCGGGCTCCTGGAAGGCAGGGGGCAAGCCAGTGTCACACATCTCTGCATCCTCCAGGTGGTGACTCACCGCATTCCTCTCCTCCAGGCCCAGCCTGACGTCCATGAGTCGCTGCAGCACTGCCAGGTGGCCCCAGCGGGCGGCCAGGTGAAGGGCTGTGTTCCCCTCCTGCAGGGAGAAGGGCTCCTGAGGGGTCAGTGGAATCATAGACCCTTGCAGGCCCTGGGGACCCACTGCAGCTGAGATCCAGAGAGGGGAGACATGTCCAGGGTTATAGAGCAAGTTGGTGACGAGCTGCAGCCCTGCACGCTGGGCCAATGCCACCCTGCTCTGAGAACTGTGCCAAAAACTACCAAAAACCAGGGGCACTTTCAAGGGCCAAGTTCTGGTCTCTTTTCGTACACTTTAAGATGGACATATTACTTTAAAAAAAAATTTTTTTTAATCCCTATTTATCCATGCTCCAGTCTAAAGCCAGTCCCAACTCGGTGACCCCGGATGCATCCCCTCTCTCTGCTCAGGCCACAGCCCCAGAGACTCTCCTTGTGCTCAGGCTGTGCCCAGCAGCCACGCGGCCCAATCGCTCGCCTCCTGCGCCTTTGCTCAAGATGTCAGCTTCTCATTGAATAGTGCAGCCCACCGTGACCACAATACTGAAAACCACAACTCCCACCTCCTGTTCTCCTGATCCCCTTACCCTGCTCCACTTTTCCTGTTCCCCCATAGCACTGACCACCTAACACCCTCTACAATCCACTTGTATACTATGCTTGTTGTTTATTGGCTGGAAATAAGCATCACAAGGGCAAGGATTTTTGTCCATTTTGTTCTCTGAAATTTCCCCAAGTGCCTAGAATAGGGCCTGGGCATGTGACAGACACTCAGTAGATATTTGTTCAATGATAATACATAATGTGATGGAGAGCTTGACCTGTGTCTCCTGGAACTCGAGAACCAGAGGATTGGGAGCAGCCTCACCCTTGAGAAGTCTAAAGGTGACAGTGACAGAGCCAAGAGAGGGGGCTCCACTGGGCGGGCAAAGGGCACAGTGTTCTTTGTGTTGGAAGTGGTCCCACAGAGGGCAGCCTATTTGGGATCGTCTTTAAAGGGAACTTGCTGCAGGAGGGTAAGGGGCCCCAGGGAAGAAGAGGCAGCTGGACGTGGCCAGCCTGAGAAAAGGTATGTCCTTACAGAGGAACCACAGATGGGGGACCAGGACAAGGACCCTGGAGGGACCCACAAGAGCACCCAGAAGGGAGGACCCAGCTTCAGCCATGTATCATGCCCAGAAGGCCATGGGGACGATCGAGCTGAACCAGTGCTTTCCTCTGCCCTGGCCTGTCTCAGTACCTTCCCCAGAAGACGTTCAGTTTAGGCACAGATATCTATAAAGGGCCCAATGAGGATGTGAACACATACAGAAGCCAAAGCAGTACTTAAAGTAGTTAAAAACATACCCTGCCCCCGTGATAGATAAACACACACACATAAACAGCTCTAACTATCTTACAGGGTCAAGGAGGAAACATCTACATTTCCTTTATGATCATTATATTATATTAATAAATAAAATTAAGTTTAAAAAATCCCCTCAACAGCTTTTTTCGGCTCTTCTCCCACCCGCTCCGTGGTCGGCTCGCCACAGCAGGCAAGGGTCAGGCTGTGGGCGGTGTAGCCACAGCCTGAAGTCTCTGTGTTCAAAGAGACCGGAAGGAAGTGTGTGAACATTGGGGTTTGGCACGTGCCCCCAGTTAGCAGAGCTGTGGAAACAGGGCAGGGCTTCCCTCTTCCTTCTGGATTATAAATATCTACTTCCTACCCTTTGAAGCTGCAGATGGCACGGACCCCCTGCCAGGGTCCTCACACTCTGCCCAGGCAGGACAGGGGGCTGGGTGGAAGGAGGCCTCGGCCTTGGGCCTGGCCTCTCCCCTCCACCCGTGGGGACATCCAGCCTCTCCACCTCTGTGGGGCCCTGTCAGCCTCTCCTTGACATTTCCGAAGGAATTAATCACTCTCTCCGGGCTCTCAATGCCTCCCTACCATAGCACCTGCAGCGTGAGGTATGTTGTCATCCGTTCTGACAGGTCTGTCCCCCTACACGGGCTGGCGGGTCCTAGCACGAGTCAGGCCTTCAGTGGCCCAAAGCCTTGAAAAGCGTACTGGGCCCTCTCCCCAGATAAAATTCAAAATGAAAACATTCCTCATTGGAAAATACAACACTTAACAGGGACATGTAATTTTAAAAGCTTCTTCCTAGCATTTCTGATTGCAAGATTCTGGGTGAGTTCACCAAAGCTGAACTTTTCTTGCTTTCTAGTTTGGTGCTTCTGCTCTCTTGGGGCCCTGAGTACATCATTTTTTTTTTTTTTTTTTTTTGCCTCCTGGGTAGATGTGTCCTGGCAAGGGTCATTCTTTACCCCTGTCCGTACTCCCAGTTCCTGGCTCAGGGCCTGGCACAGAGCACAACCTGCTCCGCCCATGTTTCTGAAATGAAGGAAATCAGCCTGATCTGAATCTCAGAACCTAACTTAGCCTTTTCATCCTGAAAGGCTGAGTGTGGGTGGACAGATTTGGTGCAGACCCCCAGGGCTCAGGGCCGCAGGAGGCAGCCTGATGAAGGAGGAACACAGGGGGGCATCAGGATGCTGGCTCCAAACCCAGCTCGACCTTTGTCTTGCTGTGTGACCTTGGCTACAGTATCCCCTTCTCTGGGCCTCAGCTTCCACATCTGTAAGATGAGAAGGTTGAACTGGCCCTTGATCTAAGATCCTGTGATTCATTGGTCTGTGAGCTCTGTCACTAGCTTTGTAAACAGAACTCCTTGTATCCTAGCCAAGCATATTAATCAGAAAATTAACAGTGGAATTCTTCCCTTTGTTGGAAGCACTGTTTAGAATTTGCTGCAACACATTTGCCTAATGATTCGCAATGGTCCATTGATACAAGTCATTTGTAGGGTGGTCCCCTTGGGTCCCAACCCCTCATCTATTCTCAGATAGGTAAATTCCTGCTCATAAGCTCTCCACCCTGAATGAACTGCTCCCTCCTCAGCGGTCTCATCCTACTTTTGCCATAATCATAGTAGATTACTAAAACACAAAGAAAGCAAATAACCAGCAGGCATGTGGCTACCGTCCCCCAACTCCTGCCCATTCCCCCCAGCAACAGACATCCCCAGTGGAATCACAGCCCTGCTCAAACCCACTCCAGGCATCACTACCAACCTATCAGATTTGCCATCCTGGCTCCCCACATTGGCTCACAGCTCTTTCCTAGGATTGTGGTTGAATTCCTTGATTAAGAAACTGTGTCTTGGGCATCTTTGTGCTCTTCACCCATAGCACACGGCTGGCCCATAGTGTGTGCTCAAAAAATGCCTGCTGCATGAGCATCAGACACACGCTGGTCTTTGGGCCACCAGCCCCTCTAGCACGCTGCAGTTGGCAGTAGACACAGGTGAGCTGCCCGTGACCACCCCGGTCAGCAGCCCAGAGCCCGGCCCTCCCCCGGGACCCATGGTTACAGTACCTTGTCTTTGACACTGTGGTCACAGCCAGAAGCCACAAGGAAGTCCAGAGAATCCAGCTGCCCGTGCTCTGCAGCCCGATGAAATGCTGTCCTTCCCAGCTGGCGGGGAAGGAGAACAAAGTGAATCTTCCTCGCCCTGCCCACCTGGCCTCAGTTTCCCAACCACACTGGGCTTGCAGTGCTCCAGACACTCTCCCCCACCTTGCCTTATACACCCTGCCTGGAAAGCCCAGACCATCTTCCCAACAAGACCCCACTTGGTGGGTCCCTCCCCCACTGAAATCCTCCTGTGGCTCCTGAATAAAGGACCCATTTCTGAGGCTGGGGGTTGAGATCTCCATGAAGGCCCCTAACAACCTTTCAGGCCTTCATTCCCAAGATTCTAACCCATCTGAACTCACACACCAAAAGCCCTTTTCCTCTAAAGCTCTAGCAATTGTCTCTCCATCTGGAATGTCCCTTGCTTTCTAATCTTACTGATGAAATCTATTCATTTACCAAATTCCACCTCCTCCAGGAAGCAGAAAGAACTGTCTCCCCTCTCTAACCTGTCTAGTCCATATCAGAGTCTCTCTGAGGGATCTGACCATGTGCTGCTGGCGTCCTGCTCATTTGTGCCCTAATGCCCCTTCTAGACCAGCAACTCCCTGAGGTGGGGTCCAGTCTGCACTACCCATGGCTGAAGGGATGCACTCAAGGAATGTACAGGAGAGGCCCCAGGAATCCCAAGCCCGATGGGAAGGACACACAGCCTTGAGGCCACACTCACCTTGTCAGTGTGGTCCAGGGCCACGTCCTCCAGGTCCTCTGTTATGAACGCCAGCACTGGCATATGGCCTTTTTGGGCTGCGCAGTGCAGTAAGGTCAGGCTGTCCTGGAAACAAGGCCAGGGTGGTCCCTGCAGTCTGCGAAGGGAGGCCCTGCTCACGCACTGGCTGTCTCCCAGACAATGAGTGTTTAGGATCAGAACAGCTTTCCAAAGGAAACCACACTGAAAATGGGGATAGGCCCCTGGGACATCCGCAGGACCCACTTAGTCTCGCGGGGGCTGGTGGGACTCAGGGTGCCAGAGTTCAAATCCCAGCTCCAGCATTTATCAGCTCTGGGGTCTTTGGCAAGTTACCTATACCTCTCTGAGCCCCCATTTCCTCATAGGTCAAGTTAGGATAATACAGGCTTATTGTGCTTCGCTTTATTGAAGGTCTCTTAGCCCCAGAAGCAATATTTAAGTGAGGGAGGTTTGCAAATCCTATGTTTATAGTCCAGAGCTTCTACCCTGGCCTTGCATTACAGCTAGATTATTTGGAGTACTTTTCCAAATAGATTGTAACCATCAATGGGTCATAAAAATCAATGGAACAGTCTTCTACATCTTGACAGTGGTTTGGGTTACAGAGGAGTAGCACTTGTCAAATTTCAGTGTGTAGGGACTTCCCTGGTGGTGTAGTGGATAAGACTCCACACTCCCAATGCAGGGGGCCTAGATTCCATCCCTGGTCAGGGAACTAGATCCCACATGCACGCCGCAACTAAGAGTTCACATGCCACAACGAAGGAGCTGGCAAGCTGCAGCTAAAATGAGGAGCCCTGGAGCTGCAACTAAGGAGCCCGCAAGCCACAACTAAGACCTGGTGCAACCAAATAAAAAAAAAAAATATATATATATATATATATATTTTTTTTTTAAAGACTCAGCTTGGGCTTCCCTGGTGGCGCAGTGGTTGAGAGTCCGCCTGCCAATGCAGGGGACACGGGTTCGTGTCCCGGTCCAGGAAGATCCCACATGCCGCGGAGCGGCTAGGCCTGTGGGCCATGGCCGCTGAGCCTGCGCGTCCGGAGCCTGTGCTCCGCAATGGGAGAGGTCACAACAGTGAGAGGCCCGCGTACCGCAAAAAAAAAAAAAAAAAAAAAAAATAAGACTCAGCTTGTATTTCATTGTATACAAAGAATTTGAACTCTAGTTACTAGTATGCATGCTGACATATTTAGAGGGAAGTACACTGATGTGTGCAATTTATTTTGAAATGCATCCAAAATCTACAGAGAACCCTAAAAATTCATCAATAAGAAATTACCCCAATTAAAAAATAATCTGCACACCAAAGAAGATATATGGAATGGCAAATAAGCACAAGAAAAAATATATGACATCATTAGTCATTATTGAAATGCAAATTAAAACGACAAAGAGTTTCTAACAATAGAGTATGGAAAGGGAAAAATGCTAACATTCCAGTGGAGAAACCTGGCCGACACCACTTTAACCAAGTGATCAAGCTTGATATTATGATTTATAATAAGAAATATATATTCAGTCTTTGTCCTGGCTCCTGGCACAGAGCTCCTAAAACCCTAGGAATCTCCTAAATGGTAACAGTGATAAAGGTGTCTTTTATGATGTTAACGAGGTGACTTGAAGCCCCTAAGTAAATAAAGGATGGGGGGCTGGTTGCCAGGGGAACCAACAGTGATTAGAGGGTTGGAACTTCCAGTCCCACCTCCTCACCTCTGAGGAGAGGAGAGGGGATGGAGGTTCAGTCAATGACCAAGGGCTGAGAATTTAATCTATCAAGTCTATGTAATGAAGCCTCCATTAAAACCCCAAAAGGACAGGGCTTGGAGAACTTCCAGGTTGGTGAATCAGATCACATCCATGTGCCGGATCCCAAACTCCATGGGGACACAAGCACCTGCGTTCAGGACCTTGACCTATGCATCTCTTCATCTGGCCATTGATGATTCATATCCTTAATATCCTTTGTAATAAACCAGAAATATAGTAAGTAAACCGGTTACCTGAGTTCTGAGAGCTGCTCTAGCAATTAATCGAACCTGGGGAGGGGGTTGTGGGAACTTCTGATTTACAAGCAATTATATAGCTAGGCAACCACCTGGGCTTGTGATTGACATCCAAAGCGTGGGTAGTCTTGTAGGACTGAACCCTTAACCGGCAGAATCTGACACTATCTCCAAGTAGTCTCAGAAATGAGTTAAATTTGTGGACTCCCGGTCAGTGTCCACGGGGAACTGAGTTAACTGCTTGGTGACGTGGAAAAAACACACATCGGAATTGGTGTCAGAACTGGATCAAGAGACCATCACCAGTGACGAATCACAATGGTATCACATGCCCCGTGATAGGAGGTAGTGAGAAGGGCATTTGACCTGTGGGGTCTTCTTCCCCAAATTCCATAACCCCAATCTAATCATGAGAAAAACATCAGACAAAACCAAATTGAAGGATATTCTACAAAATACTTGACCAGTACCCTTCAAAAGTGGCAAGGTCATGAAAAACAGGATGGACTGAGAAACTGTCCCAAGATCAAGCAACAGGACTGTGCTACTCTTCACATCAAGAGGAGGAATCCCATATTTTCCTCCCCCTGAAACGAGGCTGACCCTGTGATGGGCTTTGACCAGTAGAATGCGGTAGAAGTAATATCTCAAGAAACCTTGCTACTTCTACTCTTGCTCTTTTGATGTCCTGGGGCTGTCAGAGAAGGAAGTCTCCATGAATGTCAGCTACCACCTGGAGACACTGGCCACACCATCCGCGACGTTCCCTCTTCCTGCAGAGGCCCCAGACGTGTGTTGACTGTGTCCTCATAAGTGAGCCCAGGCAAGGCCGGAGTAACTGACCAGCCAATGATATTATGAAAAATCATAATGTTACTTTAAGCCACTACATTTTAGAGTGGTTTGTTACCAAAAACAGAAAACTAATATGGAGTGGACCTGCTTAACTAGAAGATCCACTACTCAGAGCCCTGCCCTCCACACACACTTAAGACCTCACCTCCCTCATTCTAGAACACTGAGGCTCATTCTGTGTTGATAGCAAATTTCATCGCCAACAGCTACTGGATTCTGCAAGACCACTGAGACTCTCTCTAAGGCTAAGCCAGACAGGCAGGACTGGACAGGAGGGCCCTCAGCTTGAAACTGGGCTTGGATCCCACACTCTGGCCTTGGATCCTGTGGCCCATAGCCTAGGGGTATCCTTCACTGAGAGCTGTCAGACATTTCTACCACTGCCAACAAGATCCTAACAATGGTATAGGGCAGACCTCCTGTGTGCCATGGCCCTTTTTGGTGTCTGGTGAACACCCATCTATTATCTTACAGTTCTGGAGGTCAAAAGTCTAAAATGGGCTGGGAGGGCTGCTTCTCTTCTGGAGTTTCTGGGAGAATCCATTCCCTGGCCTTTCCAGCTTCTAGAGCCTACCTGCATTCCTTGGCTTGTGAGTCACATTACTCCAACCTCTGCTTCCTTCAATCACATCTCCTTCTCTGACTCTCCTGCCTCCCTCCTTCTTTCCCCTAAAAGGACATGTGGGCACATGTGGATAATCCAGAATAGTCTCCCCATCTCAAGGTCCTTAACTTAATCACATCAGAAAAATTCCTTTTGCCATGTTAGGTTCTAGAGTTCACAGGTTCTAGGGATAGGGATATGGACATCTTGGGGCAGACAGTATTCTGCCTACCAGAAAAGAAAAACAATGATATTGAAATAGAATTATCAAAATATTAAAACCCAAATTTTTTATCTAGTAGCATATGTGCTTTATTGATCCATTAAACAACAAGATCTAGGAAAGGTCTAATAACTACCGCCATGATTTCAAAGTAATGATGAGCGTAAACAGTATTTTGAGATAACTGCAAAAACTGTAATGTGATATGAAAAGAGCTACATTTTGTCTTAGAGACAATGTCACAGGTAATATTAATTCTACCTGCATTCATCATGGAAAGAAATGCTAAAATTTTAAGCAGAGGGCAGTTTAAAAAAAAAAGGTCCTTGTTTTCCCTTCAAAGTTCATGGATCCCCAAATTCTGTCTCTCTAAGGACCAAGGTTGAGAACTCCTGGCTGAAGGTATTTGGCCCAGAAATGTTTGCATTTTCATAAGGGCCACCAACCCCCTAAAAGTTGAGACACCAGTTCAGGGGTTCTGGGCACTCTTGACTCCCTGGGGCTCTCCTCCCTCAAACCATAGCACACACCAGTGAGCAACGGGGGACTGCCAGGGTCGCACTGGGCCAGGTACTTTAGACACAGAACTGCAATTACTTCTGCCTCAGCTCAGAGATGGGTACTAGCACCCCTATTTCCAAATGGGAAAAGTGAGGCTCAGGGTGGTAAAATAATTTGCCCAAGGTCCCAGAGTTTGGTAAATGGTGCTTTGCTCCTTCTACCTGGCCATACTGACCACAAGGGAGCCGGGGCCCCGTGGGAGGGAGAAGGTCCTACCTCCTTCTCATTTAATCTTCTGAGAGTGTTTCTTTAATTCCCCTTTGTGAACAAGAGGCTGGCCAGAGGACTGGGGACTGTCCCAACATCACAGAGTGGTAAAGAGTAGGGGGATCAGAAGCCAGGGGCTTTCAATGCTGATGAAAGAGGCATCCCCAGGCCCTTCTCCCAGCCCCAGTGGAAGTAGTGAGGGTCCCAGCTTCACAAGGCTGAGCTCAGGTGGGGGTTCAGGACGCTTCTCAGAGGGTCGAGGCAAGCTGGGGCAGACAGAGGCACATGAGGGGACAGAGGGGGCAGTGATGGGGACAGGCAGCAGAGGTGGGGGCAGCCCTGTGCAGCAGGAGGTAGAGAGGGGGCAAGTGGGCTGCCAGCTGAGGCCTTACCTTGTTCTTACAGTGGATCTTGGCCCCAGAGTTGATCAGGATCTGGAGGATCCGTAAGTGACTGCACCAGGCAGAAAGGAGAAGCGCATTCATCCCAAACTAGGGGAGAGGACATGGGGGGGGAAGGGAGGAGACTATGAGGGGGCGTGGCTGTGCCACCTGGGCCCAAGTGTGTTTTGCACAATCGTGTAACCATAAGGGACCTTAAGTTTCACCCAGGCCGGGGAGCTCTGGGCTTTAGGAATTTAGAGTCCAGGAAATTGTTTTAAACAGAGGCTGATATACTATTGCAAACATTTCCGCCCCCCAGTTTTATTGACAAATAATTGACATACATCACAGTATAAGTTTAAGGCATACAGCATGATCGTTTGATTTACATATATTGTGAAATGATCACCACAGTAGGTTCAGCTAACAGCCATCTTCTCACATAGATACAATAAAAAGAAAGAAAAGAAAAAAGGGAAAAAGATTTTCTCCCTGTGATAACTCTGAGGATTTACTCTCCCAACAACTGCAAACTTTTGTGGGGATACCGAATAAACCTTAAAAATAAAAGAGCTGCCATCTCCTCTCACCACCAGTTCACAAAGATGAACCGTTTTACCACAAAAAAGTTTGGAAGGAGCTGATCTCAGAGTATACTCTTTCCAAATACAGCTTCATGAAACATACACTCCATTGTTCTAATTTTCTGATTTGCTGTGACTGGTGAAGACCTCACCCTGGACTGGCATTTGAGAATCAACCGTTTGAATCTCCTGCGAAACATCCTCCAGGCAGATGGCTTAGGTCTGCGCACATGAAGGGACGGCATCTCGCCGCTGCACGAGACAGCCACTGCACCGTCAAACACTTCTCACCGTGAAAAGCCCCTCCTCATGCGGAACTGAAATCTGCATCCCTGTGCTTTCTACCCTACTGGCCCTTTGGAGCAGCTGAAAATACATCTAGGCCTTCTTCTGATGGCAGCCCAGATCCTCTCTGCAGGATGCTCTTCCTCAACATCTGCAAAGTGTTTCCAGGTCACCAGAGCCCCTGCACTGCCCTCCACCTTCGTGCATCTGAGGGCAGGCTTCATCCCCACCTCTGCTGAGTCTTTCCTTCTCTGTGAAGAGCACCCCCAGGCCTCCAAACTCACCTCCCGGAATGCACTGACAGCCAGCCACCCTCTTAGAAGTGGTTTCTCTCTGTCTTTCCTTGAGTGTGGTGGGATGTGGCAGGGTCTGAGCAGAACAGAGGTCTGGGAGATCATCACCACCTTCTGCCTACAGACCGCACTGGCCTCCCTCAGCTTTGGGCAGCCCCAAAGTTTGTCTCCAAGTTGGGCGTTCAAAGACCAGAACATATTTTTCCCACAGAAACAGGGTCATGTGTGGCTCTGGGTCCCCTGGTGAGGCCAACAGCCTGTCATTCATAGAATGAGCCCACAGGGTGACCTGGTACTGATGGGCCACAGAATCTCCCCACAAGCATAAGCAGGCTTGCAGTGGGAAAATGCTCCCAAGTCCAGCTGGGAGCAGAAATGCAGAGCCCACCTCAGGAAGGGCTAAGGGATCAGTGTCCCCTGATGTGTCCTCATCCCCAGCACACTCTAAGCTGCCAGAAGAACAGGGTTGGCCTAGTCCTGAATCCGCCTCAATTTCACAGTCTGGACCTCTGGGGGAAAGGGTGCCTCACCCCAGCACCTGCACAGAGCACCCTAGTCACAACCGCTTCCCCACTTGGCTCCACAAAGAGCTTCTGGGGGAGCACCAGGAAAAGGGGTCTTAGTGGCTGGCACCAGAATCCCTCTTAGGGACAGAACTGGGTTTGGGTAAAAGCTGTGACAAGTGGTTGGGATGAAAGGTGAAACCCAGAAAGGACTGACTGGGCATGATGGCAGGAATTTGGAGGCAGGGCAGGGACAGTGCAGACAATGACAGCATTGAAAGTGGGGCAGGGGAAGAGGCCAAGTCCAAGACAAGAAAAGGACCAAGGGACTTTAAAGAACAGGAATGGCACAGAGAACAAAATTGTGGTTGCCAAGGGGGAGCGGGGGAGGAGGGAGGGATGGGCTGGGAGTCTGGGGTCAGTAGATGCAAACTGTTACATATAGAATAGATGGACAAGGTCCTACTGTATATATAGCACAGGGAACTATATTTAGTGTCCTGGGATAAACCATAATGGAAAATAGTATAAAAAAGAATGTATGTATATGTATAACTGAGTTACTTTGCTGTACAGCAGAAATTAACACAACATTGTAAATCAACTATACTTCAATTTAAAAAATAAATCTAAAATAAAGAAAAAAAGAAAGCATATGGTAAAGGAAAGAAAATAATAAAGAACAGGAATGTCAAAGACAGGATTTTAGGATTTTTACATTGTTTTTGTGTGTAATGTAAATCCCCTCCACCTCTTATTTTGGAAAGCCTGCCCCACATCAAAGTGTGTGAATGGAAAGTGGGGAGAAGGACTGTGATCCATGTTAGGGGTGATGCCAAGGTAGAGACAAAGGACTATGTGCAAAATTTCAAGAGGACGGCGAAAACCGAGTAGAAGCTGGAAGTAAGAGTCAAGAGTGACCACAAGAATTTAAGCCCTTCCTCCTGAAACCTTGGGAAGGTGCTGGATCCACCATAGCACCTCAAATGGGGACTAGAGTTGGTCTCAGCTAGAACCAAAGAGGCCAGGAGACCCAGCACTGGCTCAGAGCTCAGCTACTGGTAGAATATCAGTAACTGTGGGCTGGCTGGCTGACGAAGGACAGAGTCCAAGGGGAGAAGCCCACAGGAGCTTGGGAATGAAAAGGGTCAAGGCTCAAGGCTGGGGGAGGAGAGTCATGGGAGACAGAGCCTCTTGCCAGTTCGAACCCCAAGATATCTCACTGTCCTAGCTCCAGGAACTATCTAGGACAGAGCCCTGTGGCTTTTCACTAGAGACCTTCCCCCCAACAACAGGATTTCCCTTCTCCAGTGTCTCCTCTACCCTCCTGTTATTAAAGTAGGCACGCTTACCAGCCTTCTTATTTTTCAAAACGTATTTATTGCTGTTTGCAAAGGAAACAGAGAAGATTTGTAAGCACCCTCTCTTACTATTCTCCCTCATATCTTCTTTTCTCACTCAGTCCCTCAAGGAAGAAATAACAGAGCATGGTGGTGATAGTAAGGGTCTTTTTTTAAAAATTTATTTATTTTTGGCTGCGTTGGGTCTTCCTTGCTGCACGCAGGCTTTCTCTGGTTGCGGCGAGCGGGGGCTACTCTTCGTTGCGGAGTGCGGGCTTCTCATTGCTGTGGCTTCTCTTGTTGTGGAGCACAGGCTCCAGGCGCACGAGCTTCAGTAGTTGTGGCACATAGGCTCAGTAGTTGTGGCTCACGGGCTATAGAGCGCAGGCTCAGTAGTTGTGGCGCATGGGCTTAGTTGCTCCGCGGCATGTGGGATCTTCCCGGACCAGGGCTCGAACCCGTGTCCCCTGAATTGGCAGGTGGATTCTTAACCACTATGCCACCAGGGAAGTCCCAACAGTGAGGGTCTTTGTGGGCAAAAGGCTGATGCAAGAAGTTCCAGTGGTTTATTGGGACACTCAGACTAAGGAAACCAGACACTCTCCTTCCAGGGTCATCTCTAAATGAGGTCTAAGCAGGAGCAGGGAGGAGATGGGGTGAGGGAGTGGGGAGGTAGGTGTTGCTGCCCCACCCCCAGCCCTGATTTGTAATCAAGCCCCCTTCATGGTGGGTCCTCAGAACAAAGAGAAGTCAGGACAAAGAAAAGTATTTCCATGGAAGCTAAGTTTCTGCAGAGAAGTTTATAATTTTTAAAAAATGTATCCCTGTCAAATGCCGTTGTCAGATTCAGCTCTTTATCCAAACCCGTAGAGATAAATTTGTAGACCTTGTTATTATTCTGCTCTCTCTCTTAGCAGTGTGCTCCCTGCCAATTTGTTAAGTAAGGCTGTTAGTCTTTATCCAGGTTGTGGGTTAGTGTTTGCCAGGGCAGAGCCCTGTGGCATATCATGAGAGACCTCCCTCCCGATGACTTTACTAATGAGGCCTTTGTCAACCCACCCAATTACCTGTTCTATAGCCCATATTTCTCCCTGTTCACATGACATCACGAGGGACTGAAAAGGCTGAGAACTGAAAGGCCCTTGAAAATGAAGAGATCTTTATGACTGTGCAAAGGGAAAGTAGGATTGGTACAGTGTCATTGGCCCCTGAAGACTCACCCACTGCCCAGCCTGCACCTGTTCGTCTGTGTATCAGTGACAACCTCGGCAATGACAGCTGGCTCATAGACCCAGAATGAGTTCTGATGCCCCTGCCCCACCCTGAGACAGACAAGAAGACGAACATGCACACACAGACATGCCTGCGTGAGGGGACCCGTAGCGGATCCTCATCATCCACAGCAGCCTCGTGTTCCAAGAGCAGCCGCACAGCCTGCTCGTGCCCTGCACCCACAGCCCGGTGCAGGGCCACCCTGCCCACCTGCCAGGAGGGAGAGGAAACCTGTGAGGCACCAGCTGGCTGCCCAGCCCACCTCGCACAGCCTCCCTACCTCCCGGCCAGGACAGCTGGTCTGCAGGGTGGAAGGACCTTTGCTGGCTCTGGTGACCAGTCGGCTGGGGCCCCAGCCCCACTCTGACCCCCTCCTCTTCCACTCTGCAGCTGCTGAAATGAACATAATAAAACACCATGTCTAGATCCGTCTGTCCCCCACCTAAAACTCTTCCCAGCTTCCCACTGCTCTTGGATCAAACGCCTAAACCTTGGGCCTATGAGGCCCTGCATGGCCTGGCACTGCTTCTCAGAAATGCCAGACAACATCCTGTCTCTAAGTCTGCTCCTGTTGCTCCCTCTGCTGGGCAGCCACCTGTGTCTGAGGATTATTTTCCAAATCCCTGAGGAATCCTGAGTGCCTGGGTTCTGTCCCCTCCTTCCTTCAGAACAGGGTTGAAGGGTTCTGACCTACCCCCCACCCCCAAACTCACTGTCAAACTGCCCTGGCAGTTCACCCTGGTCTCTGGCCCTCAGCACATCTGAGCAGGCCTGGGGGAAGCCAGCCTCCAACCCATGAACCCACTTCCCTCCACAGTTTTCAGCATGTGATGGGGCAACAAAAGAAAACACTAATTTTCTGTGTGGTATCTCTGGGGACGAGTTGTCCCTTCCTTTCCCATTCTGTCCCCTCTGCCTGAAAACACTGCCCTTTTTCACTGGCTCCCACAAAAATGCCACTTCCTTGGGAGGACTTCTGGCCGAGAGGGCCCCTCTGACGCCCACATGCTCTCAAATTGTGACAGTGGGAATGAACTATTTGTGAGATACTCTATTTAATGTCTGTTTTCCCCCACAAGACTATCAGCTCCAAGAGGGCTGGGACCATGTCTGCCATGGGTTCTGCTGTCCCCATCACCTACCACAGTGCCACCACAGAGTAAGCCCTTAATACTTATTGAACAAATGAATCATTCAACAAGTAAATGAATGAATGAATCTGGCATTAGCATCCTATCATCCATAAGATGCAAGTTCAACTTGCAAGTCCATGTTTCTTTGCAAGTGCTTGTCCAGGAGATGAGACCAAGGCTCCAGTCACCAATAATGTGCTGTGTGACCTAAGGTGACTTGCTGCCCTCCTCTGTACCTGCCTCCATCTATAAATAGGACCAATCCTTCCTGCTCTCCTCCCCTCTCCAGGGGTGAGTAAGAACCACCAGGACACAGGTAGATGAGTGCTCTGAAAACCAAAATACACCAGACACACCCTAGAATTCCTACTACTATTACTGAGCCCTAGGCAGGCTGTGAAGACCCAAGTTGTACCCCTGTCACATCAAACCAGACAGAGGATAACTGCTGCAGTCAGGAATCCTGCATCCAACCCTTACAGCCTCCACTGACCTCTCACCCAGGCCCTGGCATCTCCTCTAAGATGCTCCTGACAGCTAGAAGCCCCAACACATGGAGAGGCTACCCCACGTGGTACCCAGGCCCATCCCCAGTGTCCCCAACCAGAAGAATGGCTCTTCCCTCTGCCCCCTTCTCCAGCAGGGCTGCGAACCACCCCACCTGCACCCTTCCCTGAGGCCTGGTCTGCCTCCCCACCAGGCCAAGGGCAGGCCTGGGCCCACAACAGTTTTACACACTCAGTAGGCACAGCGGGCCCTCAGAGAACTGAACTGCCTAGGAGACATTCAGGCCAGGGAGGGGCTGTTCCCCAATCCTCCTTACACAGTGTCGGGGGTCCTCCGCCCTCATCCTGCACCCCTTTTTGTCCACACAGTGCTTCCTCTGGAGAGGCAGCTCCATGAGGCTGCCCGCCAGAACCACGTTGGGAGGATGCCTCAGGGACCTGGTGGTCCAGTGGTTAAGACTTCGCCTTCCAGTGCAGGGGGTGCAGGTTGGATCCCTGGTCGGGGAGTTAAGATTTCACATGCCTTGTGGCCAAAAAACCAAAGCATAAAACAGAAGCCATATTGTAACAAATTCAATAAAGATTTTAAAACAAAACACTGTAAAAAAAAAAAAAATTGCAACTGACACATCAGCCTCCCTTGGTCCAGAACCCCTGGACTTCTGACCAGAGGCACCAGGCCACGTTTGTCTCTCCAGGTGCCTGTCCCTATCTGCCAGCCTCCGACTCCTGACCTTTGACCCCCATCCCTCCTGACTCTAAATCTGTTTCTTGGAGGAGCCTTCTGGATGGGTCACAAGGATTAAGAGTTAAGAGCGCTGGAATCCTGACCCTGACTTTGGGCCTCAGAGATTTTGAGACAAAGTGGACAAGGAGGCCAGGGCCTGAGCCTCCCCCAAGTTAACACGTGCCGATGTGCCTGCCCCAGGCTCCGGGAACTGTCCCTCCTGTGTGGAGGTGACACTATAGCATTATTCCCAGCCGGAGCCCCTTTACACACGTGATTTCTGGCCCTGATGTGTACTCTCCTCCCGATCGGCTCCTTCATCCTCCCTCCCAGGGAACAGCCCCTTCCTGGCTTGAATATCTCCTGGGCAGGGGGTCTTCCAGCTCAGAATGGTGGGTGGATGCTTCTCCTCTTTCTTAATGTTGGAGACTTCCCCAGACAGGCTGCTTCTCCTTCCAGCGCACCTCATGTCCATGTGACCAGGACTCGGCAGAACCCTAAAGCTGGGAGACCGTGGGCAAGACCATCCACAGGAGCCAGGTGTGTGCCCCTCCCCTCTCAGAGGTGCCCTGTCATCCAGTTGTCCTGACTGCTATTGCTGTTCTTGAGGAAGGAAATGCAATTCATTCCCACTGGAGTCGATAACCACCTTTCCCATGGCTCCATCAGTGAAGAAGGCAGCCAGGATTTACCGAGCCACCCACTGCATCAGGCCCGGGCGAGGCCAGAGGCGTGTGTTCACCCGGCTTCTTTGTCCTCGTCCCTCCACCTCTTCTCTCCTCATCCCCTAATCCTAACCAGCTTTTGCCTCCTGGTTGTGGGGCCCTCTCTGATTGCCTTCTCTGTGGTCTCTGCACTCCTCTCATCCTTGTCGCTGCACCTTCGTCTCAGTCTCAGACTAGAAGGAACCTCCAAGCCCCGCTTCCAGCCCCTTGCCATGGCCAGCGGTGGGCTCAGAGGGTTGGTGGCCAGGCCAGGGGGACTCAGGCCTGATGACGTGGTCCAGGGCTCATCTCACCAGAACCCCATGCTGCTGTCATCCTGACTGCTCTTGGCTTATAAGGATGTCCTGTCTCTTTGGCTGGACCTCAAGCTCCTTGGGGGCTCTGGCCACACCTGACACTTGCCAACCCACCCACACTTCACAGCGGGCCCAAAGCTGAGCACATGGAGGAATCCACAAAACTCTGCTTCCATGAGTGACACTGATAATCCCCAAGCTGACAGATGCCTGTCCCCACTTCAGAAAGGCTTAGATACACAAGCACAAGGGACAAATATTGGGCTGGCCAAAAAGTTCGTTTGGGTTTCCCCATAACATCTTACAGAAAAACTCGAATGAACTCTTTGGCCAACCCAATATTGGCTGGCCCTTTGCACAATCAGTACAGGGCATGTAATTTGAGGTTTTATTGCGGCTGAGCCTACATCCTGCACATTTGGTCCACTACAAATGTCCAGACCCAGCCCCTCTGTGTATCCAGGGACAGATCGCCAGTGTCTTGGCAGGGAAGGCTGGGATGCATTAAAGTGACAGAGAAGACTGCCATCAATTTGTTTTTTCCAGATAAATTCCACGTGGCTTTCCAAATACAGGAGAGGGTTTGGGGCTTTCTGAGGCCTCACAGATGCAACCTATGGACCTCAGAGCTGCTGCCCTGTGGCTGAGCCATTTCCTGGCTGTGTGACTTAGGTTACTTAATTTCTCTGTGCCTCAGTTTCCTCATCTGCAAAATGGGGACATGAGCTGCCCTGCAGGGTTATTGTAATGATTGGATATAAGTATGTGAAAAGCTCCTAGCATGGTATCTGGCAAATAGTACCATCGTCATCATCACTATTATTCCTCCAAAACAAAGGGTCAGAGAATAAATTCTGGTGGCCAGAGACCTGGGGGTTGGTGGGGCTTCCTTCGTTCAGGGCTCTCTGAGCCAGTGAAGCCCCAACCAAGGAAACACCCTCCCTACTCACCTCCCTGCACTGCTTTTCTCCACACCACCCCTCACCACTGGCCTATGCTATATTTACATATTTATTAGCTTTACTGTCTGCTTCCCCCATTATAATATAAGCCCATGAAGGGAGAGATTTTTGTCTGACTTGTTAACTACTATATCCCTAAATTCAGGCCCTGGCATATATTTGCTGAATGAATAAGTGACACACAAGTCACTAAGTCTCTTCAGGGCTTTTGAACTATATAAGATGTGGCCCCAGCTGAGACTCATTTGTTCCCTGGAAAACCAAACCATAAGCTCAGGTAAATGGCAGGAAAGAGGTGTATGGGGACAGGGGGAGCTTCATGTCAATACTTCAGGGGAAAGGGGGAAACATCTCCTTCCAAGTGTGGTCCCCATTGATGGCGCCACCCTTCCTCACCCCTAAAAGGGTCTGCCTTTCCTATAGGGGAGGAGAGGGCCCTTCTGGAAGAATCCCTCTCAGATCTCAAACACCTCCGGGAAGCAACTGTGTCCTGAGCATTCCTTTCCTTAAACTCTTGGACGAAAACCACCACGATCCAGGTTCAGCAAAAGATCTGGTAGTTCAGGCGTAAGCTTAGGGAAGCTGGGGTTTAGTTCCCGCACTGCCACCTTCTAACAGCAGGAAACATCCCCCTTGGGGGCCTCAGTTCCACTGTAGAATCAGGGGAGGGTGAAAAAGTGATCTGTAGAGATTCCTACCAGCTCTGACTCCCTTTCTCTTGACGGAAGCCTGGGAGAGCGGCCTGGTTTGTGTTGGCAAACAGCCAAGAGCCTGAAGAAGAGCATGGAGGCCCTGGAGAGCGCCAGTGAAATCAACTTCAGTCTCATCTCTTCCATGCACCTCAATCCATGCATCCTCTTTCTGGCCACAACAGACACACACTGCACTCTGGCCTCTGAGCCTTTGCCTATGCTGGGTCCTCTGCGCAGAATTCCCTCCCGCGCACCCCAATGATCCATTGCTGCACATTCTTTAAGGGCCTGCTCAAGTGATGTCTGCCCCAAGCAGAAACCTCTACCTGTCTGAAAGGCTTAGCACCTGATAGAACCCCCACTCCCATCTGCATCCCAGTGAGGAAAATGGCACAGTCCTTCTCTCCCTTTACCAGGCAGTGCAGCCAAAGGTCCCCCAAGCTGGCTGAAGTCCACAGGGATGCCACTGCCTGGCCCAGAGGCCCTAGCAGCCAGGCACACTCCTGGAGGGGCCTCTGAGGTGCCCTGATCCCCCCTGCAGCACACCATACCTCCTCCACTCCCCATCCAGCCCCGACATTCTAAGGGAGCTGGGACCCTCAGCATTTCTACCACTTTAAGGCTGTGTGACCTTGGGCAACTTGTTTAACCACTTTGTGCCCCAGCTTTCTCTTCCGCAAAATGGAGATAACAGTGGGTCCTACCCAGAAGGCTGCCGTGGAGATCAAATGAAGTGCCAGCCCCGGCTCAGTCCGGCACACAAAGTAAGCACCCAATAACGGATCGTATTCCCATCTTCTTTCGAGCTAATGCCTCCTCCACCAAGCTCCCCGCTCCAGGGCGGGGAGCACCCCCAGTCCCGGGTGAGCAGCCAATGTCCCCTCCGCCAGGTGCGAGCTCCTCTCGGGGCCACAAAGAAGCCCAAGACGCAGGTGGCCACGCGGACCGCGCAGATCTCAGGCTCGGTCGCCCCCGCTGGGTTGCGGCGCATCCTCTCGGCCTCTACCCGCCCCTGTCCTGGCCCCCGCCCCACGGAGTCACGGCCCTGGGTCTCCCACGCCAGCTCCTCCTCCATGCCACCGCTCCGGAGCTCCTCTATGTTCTGCCTGGTCGCGAGCGGCCCATCGGCCCAACCGGGCCCAGGAGCTGAGGGAGGAGGAGCTGAGCTGGGGGTGAGGACGAGGCTCCCGGGAGCGTCGGAGTGCAGGTGGCAGCCACTCCTCCAGAGCCCTCGCCCCTCCTCGGTTCTTGGGTATGATGCGGGCGCAGCTGCTCCGACCTCCCGACCGCCTCCCATCCCGGGCCAGACTGCGGGTCTCTCTACGGGCTCCCTCGACCAGCCCACGGCCCAGCGGTTCGGAGCCACTTGGGGCTCCGCAGGTCTCCCTGGGAATGTCTCCTCTGCGAGCTGTCCCAGCCTCCCGGTCCCGGATGCACAACCTCCCGCAGGCCCGTGGCTCGCGACTCGGGAGCCTGGTCTGGCGCCCCTAGGCGCTGAAAGTCAGACCCCAAGCACTTGGGTGGGCATTTAAGGAACAGTAACCTCAGCAAGCCTGCAGGCATATGAAGAGATGGTCGGATTTGTTCATGATCAGAAAAATACAAATTAAAATGACAGTGAGATACCACTTACACCGATTAGACTGGCAAAAATTAGAAAAACTGGATAATGCCAAATGGTGGTGGGGAATGAGGGGTGTCATGGCCAGGTGCACTGCTGGTGGGGGTAGCCTGGGACAGCCATTCCAGCAAAGAGTCTTGGCAGTAATGAGGGAAACTAAACACAGCGAACTCTGACCCTAAAAGCCAGTTCCTTCTCTTGCAGGCTCATCAGGAGACATGTAAGAGGATTTTGTTGCTGGGTTGTTTCGTGGTTACTGGGAGCTGGAAACAACCTAAGTGTCCACACTGGGGGAGTAGATGGATAGGTAAAATGTGGTACTACTGTGCAACTACAGATGCAAGGACCACGTGTATTTACAGCAACATGGACTGAAACACCAAGTGCTGAGCAGAAAGAGTAAAACAACCAAATGAGACCTAAAACACAATACCAATAAAAATGCTTGCACACAAAACAACACAGATTTGCAAAGGTACATACAGTACAAACAAAAAGATACACATTAAACATATCAGAATGGGTTGTACTTCAGACCCTGGGGGATGTCCATGTCTTCTCTTCTTTGCCTTTTAGGCATCTACAGCCTCTTTAGATTTGGGGATAGTGGGGTCCCACGCATCTCTATCCCAAGGCAAGAAGTCATTGCTATTTCTTGTGGGATCAGAGAAGGACAAATATCTTTCAGTCATTAGTGTAGATCAGAAAGGCTTCCTGGAGGAGGAAGTACTTGGAATGGCCTTTGAAAAATAACATAAGGATAATAGCTAACAGTTAATGAGCCCCACGGTAAGACTTTGTGTGGATTATCTCATTTTGTCCCCCAAACCACCCTATGAAATGGACATTATCACCACCAGATTATGGGGGTGGAACTGAAGCACAGGGAGGGTAAATAACTCTTCCTACCCCCCACAGTAAGTGGTGAAGCCAGGGTTCTAACCCAGCTGGTCTGATTTAAGAGCCACAGCATGAACATCTGGTAGGTGGAAAGGACATTGATGGAGCCAAACCTGCAGACAGCTGGTGGTTGGTCACTCTCCAAGCCCTGGACTCCCTGATGGATGCAGAGGTGCCAGGGAGCA